CTGCCTCAGCCTCCTGAATAGCTGGGACTATGAGTGCCTGCCACCACACCTGTCTAGTTTTTGTATTTTTAGTAGAGACAGGGTTTCACCACGTTTCCAAGGCTGGTCTCGAACTCCTGGCCTCAGGTGATCTGCCCACCTCGGCCTCTGCTGGGATTACAGGCATGAACCACAGCACCCAGCCTTCATTGCCTGCTTTCTATGTTCCAGCATTTTATTCTGGAACATTCCATTTGAGTCTCATAGCAACTTGGTGAAGTTGGTGTCACTGTCAGACACCATTGTACAAACGAGGATGCTGAGGCTGGAGATGAGTCAGCTTTCCCAAATTGTGTCCATGGTAGGAGGCCTACTCAAGGTTTAAACTTAATTTGAATGATCCTGAAGCTTTAGCCTGTTAGCTCTATATAATATGTTCCTTCTCCTATCAAGCGTCCATTTGTTACGGACAAGTCCATCACCTTCCCATCTATAACACAGACCTGAGCTCACACAGCAGCGGGGATGCGTGGAGACAAAGCTGGAAGAATGTATGGAGGAGGGCTTTCTTAGCAAATTAAGTGCGCATATAGATTAGTTTTTCTTTCAGCCATCATATTTCCCTGTGTGACTACAGACATGGAGATATAATATTAGTGAATAATAAAGGTATCATTGTCAAAAGTCACATTAGAAAAGGAAAAGTCAAAGAGAAATCAATTTTGAAGGGGACTTTTAACAGCTTCTTAAAGGGATTGCAATCACCCTCCAGGGTAAGAGAGAAAATGATCCGCTGTATGTCAAGTTTAAACACATGCATGTTCACACAATAAACTCCTTTTGAGCAATTAGTCTACTACGTCTTATTCCCTATTTTTCAATCTTTGTTCTGAATTATTAATTGCTGCCTCCATCTGGTACCATAATTAAAAGCGAATTAGAAGTTACTGTGGCAAAAAGAGATGCCGAATGGTTCTCTAGATAGCAGTTGCTGCCGAAGTCAATTTTCTGTAAAGTTCAGGAGAGACTCTCAAGTCAGAAGTGCAGCGGGTCTCGCTTTACCTGTGAGCTCGCCATCAGGAAGTCTGGCACACTGGTGTCTGGCCGCCCAGCGTCTCCGAGAGCCAGCGGCCCCACTCTCTCCAGCTAAACCACTTTCCACAGGGGTTCTGAGGCCGTTTCCACTTCGCATGCAAATGCAGTCACGCCCTGGGCTCTAACGCTAATCCTCATTCCCCTAAATGATCTCAGGTGTTTTCCTTCCACAACACAAGACTGGGGTGGAGAACGAACAGCACACAAGATGCCATCAGTCTTCTACTGGATACATTCCTGGGGCTATAAAGTCTGGGGAGATAGCAAAGAGCATGCAGACACCCAGTTTGCACTAAGAAGCAAAGGCAGGAGAGTGCTCCATGCAGAAGCATTTTTTATTTCTTTCTCCTGTAGAGCAATGTCACACCTTTCTCACTGCCCAGAATCCAAGGGTTGGTTGTGAGGGTGGGGGGTGGGGGGAGGAAAAAGGGCTTCCAGAAAACCACAATTAGTTACTAAAGTTTTACCAGCACCAACCAATGCAGGAAATCGGAGGGGAAGAAGGTTTCAGCTCTATTACTGACTGCACCAATGAATTCAGATTTCTACGTGGTAACAAGTCAGGACTGTAAATTGTATTAGATGATCTAAATCTTGCCAGTGTGAGGAATGTAGCTAATGGGCAGACAGTCAAAGTGAGCCAGCAGCAGCCCAGCAGCAGCTCTTTTCATGGACCATCACGCTGCAGCAGGCTGGGAGGCTGATTATCTAACAAACAATTATTCAGCTCAAATCAAATTTCTGTTAACAAGAAAAGCGCAAGGTGAGTTGGCAGAGAAGGCAGTGATCGTGGCCTTAAGGCTGCCTATCCAATAGAGGACGTTAGGCCACAGTGTTCTTAAACACTCTCCTCCTTTCAGAGGAAAGCTGACATTTTAGCAGCACTGTCTCCATGAAGAATGGGAATTCAGGAAAAAAAATAATTTAAGTATCAGTGGAACTAAAAGGGTTCACCGTAGGGTTGGTGCATGTCTGAGACAGTATAACTCAGAAGCGTTTCTTCTGATAACTGACCTCTTTTTCACCTGGGATGTTTTCCTCGAAAAGAGCCACACTTTGTGAAATCACTCATGAAAATAACTGTCTTTGCCACGTAGAGTGGGGTGGTTCATTATCAGAAGGCAAGGGGTTCTCACACTCACGGTGGGATCTGGGGGTGACTCTCCCCACAGTGGTTTGTGTAGAAAGGCCCTGGCGTGTGCCAGGGGTTGTAGGAACCCTGGTGACCCTTACCCAGGACCAAGGAACGGGAACCCAGGGTCTCCCTGGCCACTGCCATCTGAGTTGGCTTCAAAGCCTCTGACTTGCCCACAGCAGGGCTATATCGGTTTTTGCGCTGAACATCTCTAGGTCTGAGAACTCAAAGTTAATACAGTTGGAACATTTTCCTTTTCACTCATCCAAAATCTTCTCCCTCAATTGATCTCTACCACCTCTGTAGTCTAGAATATTCTAGTTCCTTATTTATAAAGTGGCTTTATAAAATGACAAACCTTTTCTGAGCTAGTCTCCAATTCATTCCCTATGCCCTTCCTTCCATAAACACTGGCTGCATTTGGAATCTGTGCCTGTACCCATCACTGTCACCCTTCCTCATCAAGAAAGGTCACTTAGTCACTGTCCCCTTTAACTATGTCTCCCCCCGGACCTCCAAGACACACACACCTTTGAGCGTAGTACTTAGCTCTGAAGAACAGAGCAGGATGATAACTCAGTCCTCTGGACACTCTTTCTTTCCCCCAGCCCTGCCTCTGCCGTGCTATGGGACACTGCGCAGCTGACTTAGTCTCTGTGTGCTTTAGTTTTCTTGTCGGTAAAATGGGAAGATATCACCAGTTCCCACTTAAGAAGGATGTTAGAAGCAAAATGGTGAGCACGTGTAAAGCGCCCATACACCCGGCACACAAACACCTCCTTAATCAGGCACTGCGGTAATAGTAAATATTAATACATCAGCCTGGCTCTATCACTATTGTCAATCCAGGCTTATTGACAACGCTGCTAAGCTCTTGCTTCACTGATTTCTTCTTCACTTATGCTATTGATTTATGCTACTGATCAGGAAAGCAGAGTGTCCGTGACATCTGAGTGACACACCGATAGAATACGTGAGGAATGAAGTTAGAGGAGAAGCAGCAATCTGAAAGCTGGGCTCTCTGGGCCGGGCACGCTGGCTCCCGCCTGTAATCCCAACACTTTTGGAGGCCGAGGCAGGTGGATCACGAGGTCAGGTGTTGGAGACCAGCCCGGCCAACATAGTGAAACCCTGTCTCTACTAAAAATACAAAAAGTTAGCTGGGTGTGGGGGCGGGTGCCTGTAATTGCAGCTACGCAGGAGGCTGAGGCAAGAGAATCGCTTGAACCCAGGAGGCAGAGGTTACAGTGAGTCAAGGTCGTACCACTGCACTCCAGCCCGGGCAACAGTGTCAGACTCGTCTCAAAAAAAAAAGGAAGAAAGAAACCTGGGCACTCTGCAATCACACACTACCCATGAAGACAAATCCATGAACCAAAACCAGAGCCACAGAATTCAGAATGCAGACGTCAAAGGGGTCCAAAGACAGACGATCTGAGGAGAGTGGGCCCTGCCTGGGAAGCTCAGATCTTCTGACTGAAGGCTCACCATCAACACGTGCTTAAAACTATCTTAGAGAACCAACCCAGGAATCCCGCTTCTGGGTATACATGTCCAAAAGAACTGAAAACATGGTCTTGAAGGGATATGTGTACCTATGCCGTGAACACCCGTGTTCATACAGCATTATTTACAATAGCCAAGAGGAGGAACCCAAGTGTCCACCCACAGACGGATGAAGAAACAAAATATGGTGTATCCAAGGAATGGAAGAGTATTCAGCGTGAAAAAGGAACGAAATTCTGACACACTACAACATGCATGCACATTACGCTAAGTGAAATAAGCCAGTCACAGAAAGACTGTATGATTACCATATGATGCCACCTACATGAGGTCCCTAGAGTTGTTAATTCATAGAAGCAAGGGAGAATGGTAGCTGGCAGGAGAGGGGAGGGGGGGACTTGCTCTTTAATGGGTACAGTTTCAGTTTTACAAGATGAAAAGAGTTCTGGAGATCGGCTGCATGACAATGTGAATGTACTTAACACTACTGATGTGCATGTAAAAATGGCTAAGATGGTAAATTTTGTTATTTATATTTTACCACAATGAAAATATACATATATACACATAAACTAGACATAGTTCAATGAAACCACAAGAGAAAAGGACCATCACAGAAATGAACAAGGAAAATACCTCCCATGGTTTCCGAAGCCTCACGAAGTTGCTCAAAAGTCTTGTTCCTGTGTAACTCCTGAAAGTGTCATCTGTCAAATCCTGTTCGCTAAAGTACTTCCTCACTTAGGCCTGTGATTTGGGAGTCTTCAAAAGCACAGGCTTTGGGACATAGAGTTATGGTCTGCGCTTGGAAATATGACCTTGTCACATGGCTTAAAAGCTTCTACCTTTTTGTTTGTCTGAGACAGGATCTCATTCTGTCACCTAGGCTGGAGTACACTCCGTCACTCACTCTGTCACCCAGGCTGGTGTGATCTCGATCTTGGCTCACTGCAGCCTCCACCTCCTGGGTTTAAGAGATTCTCCCACCTTAGCCTCCCAAGTAGCTGGGACGACAGGCGCACACCACCATGCCCACCTAATCTTTGTATTTTTAGTAGAGATGGGGGTTTCTCCATGTTTGCCAGGCTGGTCTCGAACTCCTGACCTCAAGTGATCCATCCACCTCAGCCTCCCAAAGTGCTGGGATTACAAGTGTGAGCCACCACACCTGGCCTAAACTCTTCTCTCTTTAGTTTTCTTATCTGCAGGGTTGTAGTGACAACTGAATGGGACAACCTAAGCTAAGGTGGAAGAAATGCCAGCCATTGTTTTTACTAGATCTTACCTGAACATCGTACAGGAACTGGAATCGGCTTCTTTTACTGGCAGCCTCTCTCACAGCCCGAGCCAAGTCCACAGACCCTTTTCCGCCAATTGACCAGTGATAGCAGGGGACGGCATCAAAGGCACCAGCCCGCTTTGCAAGCTCACACACCAAGTCAATCTCAGCGCGGGTGTCGGTCCTAGTGATGAAAATGTTTGTGGTTTTGCATCTGTATCCATTTAGTGATGTTTTTTAAAGAAAGACTAACCACTTCTACAGAACTTCGCTCCTTAACACTGAATATATTTTAAACATCAAAAGTGGTCACATCATGTTTACATAAATCAGACTTAAAGAAAAGCTTGGAAAAAAAAATCCTCTCCAACATGACTCAAATATTTCAAGTTGTTAAGGGTGTTATCAAGAAAATTCCATAACATATCCCTTTGATCATTCACAGTTTGTTTCAGACAAAAATGCTGGGTAGAATTATATATATATATAAAAAAAACAACAAAGAAATAGTAACTCACTATATATAAATTTCACTTCTTAATAACGCTGTGAGAAGACATTTGCTTCTCAAACCAAATAAAAATAAACCAAACCAAATAAACAAATAGGAGGAGCTGGGTACTTCTGTATACTTTTAGATGAAGCAGAGAAAGACCAAATACCCCAAGACACAAATATCATTCACAGGGTGGCCTAGTGATACACCCACAGTTAAAGGAGGAGGCTGGACTCACTTGAAGACATTCAGAGCCACCACAACGGGAACCCCAAAGAGCTGAGCGATCTGAATTTGCTTCTGGAGGTTACAGCAGCCGTCTGCCACCAGCTGGATGTTCTGTCAAAAAGAACAAAGCAAAACGCAGACCCCTGGGTATCACCTCCCACCAAACCTGCCAAGCTGAGCTGGCAGTACCTCCCTGGCAGGATTTGCTGCATCTTTTTCACTGTTTCGTCCAAGAACGATGGCTGCAAGAATAAGGAGGTTCATCTTCAAAATAACTTCTAAAATGATTCTGGGTCCAATGGCATATGCGTGGGTCTGAAGCCTGGCAGCCCCCTAGCCCCCCAGACAGGATCTACCCAATGCACCCACACTCTGCAGGTTGGGGCCTGACAGGTACCAAGGTCCCAGGTAGGTGAGGAGCTCTGTCCAGATATTTCTGGCTCAGATCCCTGGCGCCACCTGTAGGAGGTAAGATGTACAGCTGCCAGTAAATCAAAGTCTATTTACAGAAATGTGTAAGCCATTCCTGTAAGCCATAAAGCCAACCGTATGTAGACCTTCCATGACAAAGGAATACACAAGTGTAAGCTTCCTATTTGTTTATGACCTGAAGACCTTGAGCTCCTGCTGTGATGGCTGCCCTGGAGGTAGAGAACAGTAGACAAAGCCTATATCCATCTTTTCTTGATATTTAAGAGTTAATAGAATGATTTTGTCCTTTCACCCCACTCATTTCCTCTTGGATTCTTAGAACAGCACTTTTCTTTTCTTTTTTTTTTTTTTGAGACAGAGTCTCGCTCTGTCACCCAGGGTGGAGTACAGTGGCGTGATTGCAGCTCACTGCAACCTCCGCCTCCCAGATTAAACCGATTCTTGTGACTCAGCTTCTTGAGTAGCTGGAACTACAGGTGTGAGCCACCAAGCCCAGCTAATTTTTGTATTTTGAGTAGAGATGAGGTTTTGCCATGTTGGCCATGGGTTTTTGCCTGGCTGGCCTTGAACTCCTGGCCTCATGCAATCTGCCCGCCCTGGCCTCCCAAAGTGCTAAAATTACAGGTGTGAGTCACTGTGCCCGGCCAGAACAGCACTTTTTTCTAAGAGACCACTGACAGAGGCCTCATTCACTGTAAGCCAACCAGCCACTGGATTTGAGAGATTCTTCACACGAGCATCTAAACAGCTCCCTTACCTCCTCTGTGTATTCTTTCTTAAGAGGAACACCAGCGGTTACCTGAAATAAGGAGAGAAAACATGAAGAACATCCCATAAAAATGCTTACACAACTGATCTGAAAGAAAGAACACAATCACAGGCGGTTTTTGGAAAGGTAGCTCTACATTTTGTGCTTTTAAAACAGTGGCTGGCAGCACTGGCTACACCTAAAGGCTTACAGGAAGCCTGTAGAAAACACCGATCTCTGGGCTCCACCCAGACCAATGAAAGCAGTTCTGGGAGGGGAATCTGGGATCAGTAATGTTCAAAACCTCCCTGGATGATTCCAAACTGAGCCAATGGAACAGTATGAAACCTCTCAAATACTGGTTCAAATTAGAACATAAAACTAATAAAATGTTTAACACCTGATTTATACAGAGTACATCACCATTCAAAATCATTTTACAGTAACTGCCATAAAGCTCTCTTGTCCTGGCTGGAGGGCAGACGCACAATCACAGCTCAGTGCTGTCTCAAAGTCCTGAGCTCAAGTGATCCTCCTGCCTCAGCCTCCCAGGTAGCTAGAATACAGGTGTGCATCACCACACCCAGATAATTTTTTATTATTTTGTACAAATGAGATCTCACTATATTACCCAGGCTGGTCTCAAACTCTTGGGCTCAAGCGGTCCTCCCACCTTGGCCTCCCAAAGTGCTGGTATTACTGGTGTGAACCACTGTGCCTGGCCTTGCTGGTTAACCTTATAAGTCAATTTAGCTGGGTTCTAGGGTGCCTAGATATTTGTTCAAACATTATTTTGGGTGTTTCTGTGAGGATGTCTGTAGATGCAATCAACATGGAAATCAGCAGCCTTTGAGTAAGCAGGTAGCCCTACATAATGTGGGTGGGTCTCCACTGATCAGTCAAAGGCGTTTGTGAATACAACAAAATGACTGGCGTCCCCTGAGCACAGGAGAATTCTGCAGTGGACTGCTGCCTTCAGGCTGCATTAACACCACCGGCTCTCCTGGGTCTTTGGCTTGCCGGCCTACGGTGCAGATTTTGGACTTGCCAGCTTCTGTAATCATGTGACCCAATTCCTTATAATAAATATATTTCTCTCTATATTCACACATCCTACTGGTTCTATGTGTGAAGAACCCTGATTCATATAATGGGTTTAAAGAACTAATGGTGAAAGAATCTGTGGATCCCAAAGTGTAACAGAGTATTAGTTCTCAGATTGCACCAGGATTGGCGAGCACTTTGGGGGACAGGATGTGAGTTTAAAATGATTGAGGCTAAAATGGGCAAATTCAAGGGCCACAGGATTTTCCACTGCACAAATTATGGAAAAAAAACAAGCTGAAAAAACATAAGAGGCTGCCACAGTTATTTGCGTAATGATCAAAAGGAAGTGGATCCCAGCACAGTATTTGTAGTAGAAAAGGAAAAAAAGAAGATGAAAAAAGAAAACAGAAGTAGAAACGAATAATGATGGCTCAAAAATATGGAGCTGTTCAAGTAAGAAGGAAGGATACCAAAAAGAGCACTACGGAAGAAGAATAAGGGATGAAAGCTCATTTATCTTTCTATTATTGAATACACTCCCTGCATACAGACTTATGCCAGACACCTGGAACATACCAATCAATAAGACACAGTCCCTAGACTCAAGGAAACAAGAATGACATAGGGAGACAGAGAACAAGACATTCATGAAATGGTATGAAGCAGAAGGTACTACTGGGGCCCAATAGAGGGATGCTTAGCTTCACAGAGCTTCCTGGTCTCCACCTTCTCTTTCTTTTTTCTTTTTTTTGTTGAGACAGAGTTTCACTCTTGTTGCCCAGATTGGAGTGCAATGGTGCAATCTCAGATCACGGCAGCCTCTGCCTCCAGAGTTCAAGTGATTCTCCCACCTCAGCCTTCCAAGTAGCTGGGATTATAGGCACGCCGCCACCACTGGTCTCGAACTCCTGGCCTCAGGTGATCCATCTGCCTCAGTCTCCCAAAGTGTTGGGATTACAGGTGTGGGCCACCATGCCTGGCTGGTCCCTATCTTTTCTTATTCTCTACCCCTATCTGTGCCTGCTAACCCTGTTTCTTGTTACCGTGATCACTGGCTGAGAATCATGACATTAAGCCAGAGTGGAAGAGACACAAAGAATTAATGTGGGATGAAAATGCAACCACTGAATAACAGAGCACACACATTCAGATAAAACGAAATAGGATTGTAAACCACGTAGAAAATTTTTACAGGACAGAGACCAGAGTCTGGAAAACCAAGGGACTGACATCAAGAGACTCTGACTGTAGGTCTGATCAGTCCCTGAAATAGATGCGTGATGGGTGATGTTACACAAACCACTGGATCTCTCTGTGCCTCAGAGATATTCTCTTTATAGAGACTGAAAGAGATCAGGCAATCTCTAAACCCTTTCCAGTAGTAAAGTGCTTTGATTTTATAATTTTCAGGGCAGCAGGGCAGGGAGGGCTAATTCCAAATGCATCCTACATAGGTAGGAGTAGCTTTTAAAAATAGCAGTTGTTAGGCGGGGTGTGGTGGCGCACACCTGTAATCCCAGCATTTTGGGAGGCCAGGGCAGGAGAATTGCCTGAACCTGTGAGGCGGAGGTTGTGGTGAACTGAGATTGCACCACTGCACTCCAGCCTGGGCAACAACAGCGAAACTCTGTCTCAGAAAAAAAAAAAAAAAAAAAAAAAAGAGAAGTTGTTATACAGATTCAATGTCTGAAATCCAGGAAGAACTGCTAGCAACAAGAGGTGTTTTGAGTAAAGTCAGAATTCTTTATGATTTACTACTTTTCATTCTTGCATTTGAAATGATGATGAAGCTTTAGATGAAAATGAAGTGCTTAAGTGTTGGGTATAAGGAGTGTGTTTGGATTTAGGACACTCTGCCCTCCATTAACATTTAGCTCTGCATGGTGGCCAAAGGGAGAGATTTGGATCCAAAGTCCTCGGCTCTCTGCTGGCCTGCTGACACTGTCCATATTCCCTAAGCCTATCAAACCTCAGCTTCCTTACCTGTAAAATGACATAAAAACAATGTCCACCTCTCCCAAGACAAAGAATTGCTTTACGGCGTTTCATGATGGCAAGCCTGCTATTTGTTTTTACTATGCAATAATCATTGAATAGATGCCTTTTGTCACATACACAGTACAGTATACCAATAAAGAAATCAGATTTGGCAGTGCATCTCATATGTGAATATTATAATGATAAAGGGACTTTATTTTATTTCAAAATGATTCATCAGTAAAAAAGGTTTTATCTTCCACTTGGAGATTCCTATAAATGAAACAAACAAAAATCAAAAAACCCAACAAACCCCAAAAATCTAAGTACAGCTTTTCTGTGAAAAGGAATATATATTTCCTTTACAATGCCTGTAATTTCTATATACATTAGGATAGATAAATATCAAAATTCTTCAAAGAAGTTAAAATAGTATTTGTGTTTTCCAAGCAAACCTCACTTAGAAAAAATCCAGTATTACAACAGAATTGTGAGAAGAAATCATAATAAACAGAAAGAGAAGGAAAATAGTTTTAGATGAAATCTGATGAGCTGCAGCATCAGTGAACCAAAAAACTATCTGTACAAACATTGAAAAATTTCAGTCATCAAAGAACTCACTGTAAGCCTTATGTTCTGTTCAGGGACAGGAGCCTCTAACCACCCATTACCATATGGTTATACAATCTTGGCCTGAGTATCAGATATGAAGCTCAAGACTAAAAAGTGGCTGCATTATGCTCCTTTCCAAAATATTGCTTAGAAAGAACTGTGGGTGTTACTGTTGACTCGAACTTACTAAACTCAAAGTGCTCTATAGTGGTGTTGTTAAAAAAAAAATTGGGAGGCCGAGGCGGGTGGATCACGAGGTCAAGAGATCGAGACCATCCTGGTCAACATGGTGAAACCCCGTCTCCACTAAAACTACAAAAAATTAGCTGGGCATGGTGGCACGT